AAAAGAAAAAAATAGAGCCTCACCAAAGCTGTAAAGATAAAGATCACACTCCATTTCTCCTTATACGAAACAAAGAGACTCACTCCAATACAGCAAAACACAAAACTTTCAGACAGAAAACTTATGACCTGAAATTGTGTAATCAGCTATGCTCTTGCAATTGGAATTTTGAGAGTTTTCCTTGCCTGCAATCTTTTTACCACGATTAATAAGCTATTTAAGTAATGCAGTAACAAGTACAACCTCAAAGAACTGTTTCGTTCTTGACTGGGACTCCTCTGAAAGGTTGTTGTAAGTATAGTGTGCCTGACAAATAGCACAAAAAAGTGCTGCAACGATTCCTGCAAAAAAAAAAAGAAGACAGTTTAAGTTTCAAAACTTCGAAACTTTTAAAGATTAGAAAATAAGAAGCCTTCTCAAATTTGATATTGGACTGAGATCATAACTTTCCTTCATTTTCCAGTAGATAAACTTCAAAGCAAAAAGCTCCAATTTCCACAAAATCTCATGTCTCTTTCACAAAAAAACACGTAAATAAATAAACAAAATATGAACTGCTAACAAGCTCAAAAACCCATCCTTCCAACTACTGGAATCACGCATTAATTCTCCGTACCCGTTAATTCAGCAAATTCTGCCAAAAGAAATGATAGGTATGAGAGCAGTATAAAAAGTGCAGATTCAAGAAGCGGATATTCGTTGATTGAAGTCATTTTTATCAGCAGCGCGTTTGAACATCCAATTGTTGCACCGAGAAACAGCGACCCTTTAAACAGGAATAATGTATGTTTCAAACAAAAACTTCGAAGAAAAAGTGAACAATTAACTTCAAAAAGGTACCAAAAAATACGTAAATGAAACTTAGCGTTGACGCAACAAGAGCTGCAAGATCAAAATCACCCTTTGCAGTAAAAGAATCGATGGAACTGCAAAAAATAAATATTTTCAATTCTTATGAGCAACAAAATTTACTATACTTAAACTATATGTAGTAAAATACTGCCCCTTTAGCTTTTAAAATTCCACAAAAAATTACCATTTAATTCTGTACATTTTATTATTATTTACCAGTAGCAGATTGGGGAAACTGAATTTCTAAAGGTTTACTGTCACTGTGAGAACCTCTCCGGGTTTTACCTGGATAAAACAATTGCAACAGCGTCATTAAGAACACTTTCTCCAAAGACCAGTGCAAAAAGATCTGCTTCGACGCGCATTTCTTGAAATACGGCAAGAACGGTGACTGAAATATAAAATATTACATGTCTTCTTTCCCAATGAAACTACAATTGACACTAATCTTGCCTCTAAAACTTGTACGGAAGCTGAATCAATGAACATATTCATCATTTTATTTGAATAATTCAAAGCTCGCGCTCCCTTATTTTAGCACACGCCACCAAGTGAACAAGCACTTAAATGCTCACCACCTGCTTTAATAGTGCAACGAGCCATGAACTCTTTTCCCGCAAACAAACCACAACACCATTGCGCCAAACGGAACAACTATTACTCTTCAAAATTGCAGTTTCGAAATTTAAGAACTCGCCACTTACAAGCCTCACGCAAAAAAATGGAAGTGGAAAAAACTACTAAAAAAGTTCACCTGGATCAGTGGCTGAGAGTATAGAGCCAAAAAAGAAAAGTTCTTTGAATGAGAAATGAAGACTGAACACTGAGCAGAAAATGTACATCATTACGCTGAAAAAAAAATACCGTCTGGAAAGCTGAGTCTTAGAGTAATTCTACAAGCTTGAAAAAATGAAAGAAATTTACCCAATTCCTAAGGAAGAAATGGTGGTACCAATAAAAACGAAAGTCAAGATACTTCCGATATTACGGAAAAAGTGGCGCTGAAATCCTTTTCCCTTAGTTCATCCAGAAATTTATGTAAGAATTAGTTAAAAAACAAAATCCAGTAGTTCACTAACAACTATGAGCTGCCTAACAAAAGCTTTGGAAAAGGAAAACAAAAAACTTTACCTCAACTCTTCATACAAAAAACACCTTATTTCACAAGCAATGCTGATTTGCTTCTCAGTACCTAACTTCCCAAATTAAATGCAGAAATTATCTATTACCATAAAGTACCTTCTGCAGAACATATCTTCAAACGCAGTACCTTTTTCAGGCTGTATCCGGCATTAAAGATAATTGGTGGTAGTAGAATATTGAAAAAAATCTCGGGGGAAAAAACAGTCTGAAACAAAATATAAACTACACTCACGAATGAGAATTAAAAGGTCTAGTCTGCCTAGCAGTATCCAGAGGTTCAAAGAAGGAACATTAAAAGACCACCTTTTGTTCCATCTGTCGTTCTTCCTGCTGTGCTTTGTCACCGAAAAACCCTTCAATAAGCTCATAGTGAAATTGAACATTTTGAGAAGGGTCCGGTGTCACCTTAAAAATTTTAATTAATATTACCTAAAAGAATCGAACATAAAAAACAGATAGGTGAAACAAAAAGCATTAATTTTGGTAAACGTTTAAAAAGGAACAATATTAATTTATGAAGGAACCTCAAGCCTCAAATAATCAGGAGGTTCCTTCAAATGCGTATGATCTTTTGGTATGACCTCTACAGAACTACTTTTGATGACCCCAACATTTGTATAACGTAACAGAAGTCCAATCAAAAGTCCTGAAAATCAATGGTAGGCTACCACAGTAACGAAATTCTGTTTAGAAGCAACAAGAGAAGAAAAAGAGTAAATAGGTTAGCTCTCTCCGTGATAATTAAACAAAAGAAGCGAAAGGAAAGTGCTATAATTTTTACCATAGCAAAGAGTGAGTCCAGTCTCGTGAATAAAAAGAAACCGGTGTTTTTTAAAGAACCAAGAGGTTAACACTATAAGCACAAGCAGGGCCACATATATCATCAATATAAGTGTATCAACTCGGTGAATGTTCTGCGCCCGCTAAAAACCTTATTTCGACAAAGTGTGCATCGTGCTGTCCAAAAAAACTATCACTTCAACTCCAACTTAAAAAATCCAGTAGTTCATTAACAACTATGAGCTGCCTAACAAAAGCTTTGGAAAAGGAAAACAAAAAACTTTACCTCGACTCTTCATACAAAAATAACACCTTATTTCATAAGCACTGCTGATTTTCTTCTCAATACCTAACTTCACAAATTAAATGCAGAAACTATCTATTACCATAAAGTACCTTCTCTGCTGCAGGTTCAATTCGACCAGATGCATACAGAAAGCTAGCATTTGTGGCAATAAACACAGTTACTGAAGTAAAGAACAGAAAAAATTTGGCACCAGAAGAGGAAATCATTGTCACTTTATAACCTGAAAACAAAAGTCACTTGGATCACAAGACAACAGGTTATGTAAACCTTGAATACGACAATGCCAAAACAACAAAAATTCATACAATACTGAGTGATACTTCTGTAATAAGCAGTCGTAAATGATCACTAACAAAATTATTAAATAACAGAAAATACAAGCAAAATACGTGGCGATCGATGACCTGTAAAGAGTTGTTCCTTTATCAAACCAACAAACATTAACGAAGCGCATGTATATAAGAATGAATAAAACACCAAGGATGAATGTGCTATTACGGCTTAAAGATACTGAGCAAATGGAGAAGTGTTAAATCAGCTTTGAAAAAATTTGGAAATAACAAGAGAAAAGATAAATGATGAAATAAGCATGAAGAGGGTCCGCAGTACCAATGGAAAACGACAACAACGGCAGCAGCGTTACATATGACCGTACATGTGAAATGCATTTACTCTCCGTATTGAGTTGGTGCTTTTCAACGTAGCATGCTCTTAATGCTTATAGGAATTGACATTAACTTGATAAATAAATTTGCAATCTTTCCAAAAA